CGACGAATGACGGATTTAACGGTGCTATTTTGGGTTTGTCTACTGTCCATAGATATGCGATTGTAGTGCCAGTAACACACTCAGAAGACTGTCAAAGCGATGTCCTAGCTTTAGTGATTGGCACCACTCACTCACCAGGACACAACAGGAAGGGCCTGCTCCGCGATCGCCACTGAAACGGCTTATTCTGCCTAGGCTGCGCGTACACGACCAACGCTCTGTCCACAAGTCCACAGCCTCACTGTGCTACATAACACATCATTATGAGCGAGCGAGCGAAGTGAAGTCTTTTTACGAGCGAGCGCGAAGCGAGTCTTTGGTTTCAATACACTTCTCAGTATATTGAGAAGGGCCGGGAGGGCCGCTCATATATGAGCGGCCCGGTCCGGCCTGAAACGCTTTTGAGGGGTTTATATCTCAGCAACGGCTGGGCTGATTGACCTGTGTTCTTTTTTGTTGGGTAGCGTCATCTTTTCTTCCCCGTAATTGACTTCTTTTGGTGCATCTATGCAATCGTCGTGGCACGTGGCACGTGAAAAAAGTCAAGGGTGTTCACGTTGTTCTGCTGAAATAGCGATTTTGAGCGACCTGTAAGTCAGCAACCGCTAGGGCAATTGAATCGCGGTAGTTTTTGTAGGGTAGTTGCACCTCTTCTTAAAAACATCGAACATTTTCGATGCATGTGGGTCCAGGGTCGGCGGCGCACTGCCCCGTGAAACAGTACCTACCCAGGTCCTGCCGCAGCGCTCCGTTTGTAGTCAGTGGACCTGGCGGGTATGCTGTGCCGCAGTACAGCAGTACGCTGCGGCACAGCATACCCGACAGGAAGGAGCCGGCCGCCGCCAACGTTGCGCCAAATGCTCAGTGCTTGTTGGAATATTGTTGGTAATGGTGATTGACCTTTATTAGTGCTTCTTTTCGCATCAGGCCTACTTCGATATACTTTGTATGCTGTTGATATGGTTAACCCGCGCACCGACGGGGGTCTGCGCCAACTTAGTACCGACGGGGGGGGGGGGCGGATGACCGCCCCCCCTGAGATCTCGAGAACGAAGCAAGATAGCGACAAGCGGTAAACGGCATCGGATACGCACGGACAAGGTCTACAATTTTTACTAAGGTCATTTTCAGGTCAGGTCAAAGATGACGTCACAGGGGTCGAAAAAGTCAAAATGGCGGCGCTAGATATGGAGAGGGTTTTTCTCGAATAACTTTCGAAGTAGTCAAGATAGGAACAAACTAAGAGCATCATCGTGATCCTCTCGTCAATCTGCATCGAATGATATATATGTTGACCTCGAAAGGTCAAGGTCAAAGGTTGACCTCAGGTCACGTGACCTCGAGGTCATCATGTATATCATTCGATGCGTCTTGACGAGCTGAACACAATGAGACCATCCGCGCGGCTGTATCTTGTTCCTGTAAGGAGTTATTGGCAAAAAACCTTTGGTGACCTTTGATGACGTCACATGACCTTACAGCTGCCCAACAGCAAAACAGACCTCAAGGTAGTGAAGGTTGATCGTATGTGAAGTCATGTATGGTATATGGGGCCATTCCGACCCGTTTTAGTGGTAAAAACAGGGAGTTGATTTTTCCCCCATTGACTTATAATGGGGAGGTCGCGAAATTGACCTGACCTTAGGTCACCGACATCAAAATTCCGAGATATACAAATTGTAGCTACTAATGACCTAATAACATCCTGTGACTTTCAAAGGCCTCCGACATCTACTGTAGCTCTGGCACGGTGACAAAGTTGCAAAAAAGTGACTTGAGGTTGGGTCATTCAAAGTGACCTGGTGACCTGACCTTAAAAGTTAGGAGGTTCAAACTTGCACACCATGTGTAAAATTGATGAGAGAATAGTCATACCAAATTTTTCCCGCTATCCGCGAAAAACCTCAGGGGGGGGCGGATATCCGCCCCCCCGTCGGTGCGCGGGTTAATATCTTGCCATTCATCAACGTCTAGTCTAGATGCATTTTAGCAACGCTTGGCCGGCAGTCGATGTCCGTTTCTCCGCAGTCCGGTTTCTGTCTTTATACATCGCTCTGTAATTTAAGAGCCATGTTTTACTTTTGGTTAAAAAAATAGTTAGAAAACCTTTTCTGTGTGTGTTAACCCGCGCCCTGCTGGGGGGGGGGGTGTTTGAACACCCCCCTGTGGTTTTTCGCGAATATCTCAAAAACGGCGGCGCGGAGCGCCGCCGTTTTTGGTACACCTTACCATACATCAATTCTACACATGTTGTGAAAATTTCAGACCAAGGTCATTCAAGGTCAGGTCACCAGGTCACTTGAAGTGACCTCACCTCATAAAAACTTTCAATGTCTGTCATAGCTACACCGAGTGACCGATCGCTTTGAAACTTTCAGCGATTGCTAAGAGCAATAGCATGTACAAAATGTATATCTCAGAATTTTGATATCGATGACCTAAGGTCAGGTCAATTTTGCGACCTCCCAATTATAAGTCAATGGGAGAAAATTGAAATGCGCCTCTTTTGGATGAAAGACATTATAAACACTCCCAAACACCGAATTACAAGTGGTTTAGACACACTGAACTTGAAAATGGTGTCCGTGACCCTTGTTTATGCCCTGAGGTCATCTTAGGTCACGAATGGTATCTAACAGTTTTTCGCAAATAACTTTTGATAGAGGCATGCTAGAGCGATGAAAACGCCTTAGATGTGTTCAGCTCGACGATACGGATCGACTGATATGCAACATGACCCTTTCCGGTCAGGTCATGACCTTGACCTGAGGTCAAATTTCCAAGTTGACCTTTCAAGGTCAAGACTATAGTTCATTCGATGCGTCTTGACGAGAGGAACACGATGCCGGTAAAAGTAAGCTCGTACAAGGCTTGGGTCAAAAGTTATTGCAGAAAAACTGTTTTCGAAAAAATCGGCTATTTTTGCAGTTTTTGCCCCCTGCAGGCAAAACCGTTGACGTTAGGTCAAATCTGAGAGAATTACTCAGAAAGGGCGTTAATAGGGCTATCGAATGCGCTTTTCCGCGGCGCTGTAGCTCTATTGGTTCCCGAGTTATGCGTTGGCTTCTTGGAAATTTTCGACATTCGACCTGGAAATCGGCGAAATTTTGCCTTCAATGACCTCTGGTGACCTGACCTTTGACCTGACCAAAAAATTGACCGAAGTGATTTCGTCATTATTTTTGACGCTCTTTCGAACGCCGCCTTCCGCGTATCGCTACGTGGCCCAGGAGCCGAGTTACAAGGGGGGTGTTCAAACACCCCCCCCCCCCCAGCAGGGCGTGGAAATCCAGGACCCCCAGCAGGGCGCGGGTTAAAAGAAGATTCGTTATTCATATAGTTATGTCTGTTATCGTGGTGGCATCTTAATCGGTAACAAAATACCTACCTACTTACCTACCTATACATAGTTACTACATACTGTGATGCCCAAAAGTTATGTAGGGGAAGGTGGGGTAAGACGGCCCAGCGGGGCAAGACGGACCACCAGCCCTCCCGGCTGAACCGCTGCTGGTATCTACTGCCTTATGCACTCACTATGTTTGTTTTCCTTCGTAACAATGGCCACCTTGAGATCATGCTGCTAGGATGCATAGCTTTTGAGTTATTGAGAAAAATGTTGTTTTTCGTCAAACCGATCTAATATAAGAGGTCTACGGGTGATTCAATTACGGCGCCTTTCTTGCATGATTAGTTTCTATTTTGCACTTAACTGTGAAGAACAAAGTTATAAGCTTAGTTATAGTCACACTTTAGGAAAGGCAAGGTTTTGCAATGTTGGGCTATTTGACATATACGTCATGATAATGACAGAATTTAGATTTGGGGCAAGACGGACCACTGTGGTCCATCTTACCCTGTGGTGGTCCATTGTACCCTGCATATGGAAAGTTCTTTTCCAAAACATTGACACAAGTTTAAGTAAGCTAATTTTTCAGGAAGGAGTCTTTGTTGCATGTGAGCCATGCATGCAAGTGCTCAGTTAGCATGCATTCATGCCAAACGACAATCAACACACATGTTCCCAGCTTTTAGCTGCACTTCCATCACACATGAGTAAAGAATAAAGGCTCATTTTGTTATTTTACCATTCTGGTTACTTTTTCTTACAAGAGTACAGAGCAGTATAGTGTAACACACATGAACGGATAGCAGGCACTGCTGGGTGGTCCGTCTTACCCCACGTTTTTCTTGTCTGAGTTTTTGATATGTCCCTCTTTAAGAGCATCCACCACCTAGATGTCTTTAATTTGAAATTTAGTCTTTACACATATCAACAGAGGAAGGATTGAGCATTCCGAAGACTATAGATAATATGAATTACGAGAGCAGTGTAGCAAGATATGCGGCCTCAAACCTTAGCTGGTCCGTCGTACCCCACCTTCCCCTAGCTTGCATTCATTTGAAATCGCCCGACGTACATAAGAGTTGTATAGTGCCGGCGTCTGCTCATTGCTCATTAAAAAAATCTTAGTAATACATGTTTGAAGAGTGGCCCGTGGCATTTGTGCTACCGTGATGCTTGAAACATTAATTCTATGTAAATGTTTGGAGGGTTTTGTCACATTTGATATGCGCTCACATTCTGGCGTCTCGGAAGCATTACTTCTATCATCTTTAGGAAAGAAGCGTGACGCGCTTCTTGCCATCCTATGTAATGTCTTTCATCATCTCCCCTTGAGAGGATGGCCTGTGCTGCCTTGTGTGTCATGAAGACCGTCAAGCGCGCTATCCTGCATGCCTCACGCGTTACGCGTCACATCTCCCCCCCCCCCCTCCCCTGGCGCTGACTTGTTCAGAGCGGTGTGGTGACGGCGCTGTCGAGACGGCGCGGCGCCGGCGGCAGCGGCGGCGGCGGCGCGCGCAGGCCCTCCGCCACTGGTCGGCCGGCCGGCGGGATTTCACACCTGCCCCATTCCCACCGGGCCGGCGGCGGCGGCCACTGACAAAATGGCCGCCCTATAAAGCGCGCCGAACGGCACGCGGCCGGGCCTAGTGGCGGCGCGACGACGGCCGTCTGAACACTAGCAGCGGCCATGGACACGGAGGCAGACAGAAGGTACCGCCGGGGCGCCGCCACCGGTGAGTGAGCGCAGCCCATACCAATCCGTTCACACATACCCATACCGGCTGTCGTACTCGTAGGTATTCACCCCTACCGATCCAACCATACCTATGGTATTAGACACAGAGGCGAACGGAAGGTACCGCCGCGCCGGGGCGCCGCCACCGGACTGAGTGCTCGCAGCTCGCAGCTCATGCCGGCCCATACTGACCCGTCATACTCACCATACCGGTCGGCTCCTTCTTACACACACTGAACCCTATGGACACAGAGTCGGACAGAAGACACCGCTGAGATGCCGCCACCAAGCTGACTTGACACAGCGTGCTCGCCGCCGCCGACAACTGAATTAGGAAGCATGAAAGTAGAGCTAGAAATGAGAAACTCGTATTGTGTTACATGAGATAAAAACGTCTGTTGTTACAAGATGTTGTCAGCGCTCCCGGATCAACCTTCCCATAACTACGCATTGCAACTTTTAGGTGCAGACGTTTCGCTTGCACTTGAAAGACACAATACCTATTTGCAAATGAGCGCCTGTATGCACAACGTATGAGTCTATGACTGATCTGGGTAGAGTTCCATATTTATTTATGAGCTTATAAGATTGATTCTCACACATTTCTAGCTCAATTGATCGCTTCTAGTTTGTGATTTTAGGTAGATCTAAAAAATGACTGCAAATAAATGCTACACCTGGCCCATTTGCAAAACATCCTGTTACATCATTTTAAGATCACCAAACTTCTGCGACGACCCCTTCTTCTTCGTCCAACGATACCTCGCTATATATTTCGATAACTTGTTTCATAACTCGACTGATTTGGTTTAAGTTATACTACAGCATATAACACACTCGTCAGGCACTGAGCCACGCATTCTGCGTGGCTTACCAGCAGGGCTGCGGAGTCGGAGTCGGTCGGAGTCGACAGTTGTGACCGGAGTCGGAGTCGGAGTCGGAGTCGATTTTAGAAACCCGAGCCGGAGTTGGAGTCGGAGTCACCGAACATCTGTCGACTCCGCAGCCCTGCTAGGTCTGCGGAGTTGGAGTCGGGAGTTGGAGTCGGTCGGAGTCGACAATTCTGCCCGGAGTCGGAGTCGGAGTCGGAGCTGGTTTTTGAAAGCCGGAGTCAGAGTCGGAGTCGGAGTCGCCGAAAATCCATCGACTCCGCAGCCCTGCTTACCAGGACAGTAAAACCTTACAATTTTCATCGAATTCGGCGTTTTTGGATAATTTTCATCGGTGATGTCGCAAATGCATGCATGCATGCAGTTTGCACCGGTTATGCATACTGCATAGCCTATAGTTATGCATTATAATTTATATGTCATGAATATTGTTGCTTCCATCACATCTTCATTCTTTAATTTATCATGGTTTGCGTGCTCTATATAGGGCAAGGAGACTGTTTCACCTGTTATATCGCCGGTTGTGCCCTAACAGTAACATCAGACACGTCTCAACCCTTATGTTGGACATTTTTGATGTTCCCGTCTGTATATCGTACTTGTTTTACTTGCATACCCTTTATCAGTTTGCATGTGGATACATCGGACTGCTCTTTAAGGATCGGACATATTTATCGCATGTATCGGTCTCGTGCTCCCGTAATACCTATCATGTGCGTCTGGCTTACTAAACCGGTCATGCCTAAATCACGCACGTCCCGTGTGTTAAATCGGTCATGGTTCGCCTGACATCGATCATAACTGAAGAGTTTTGTTAGTTATTCTCACTTTTGTATTTGCGGGTCATATTTTCTCCCATGTCGTCCGCAAGTCTCACCGCTCATATCGACATGTCTCACCAATCATATCAGCATGTCTCACCGCTCAGTTCGGCATGTCTCAGCGCTCAGATCGGCATGTCTCACCGCTCATATCAGCATGTCTCACCGCTCATATCAGCATGTCTCACCGCTCAGATCGGCATGTCTCAGCGCTCATACCATCATGTCTCAGCGCTCTATCGGCATTCGGCATATCTCACCGCTCATTCCGGCATACGTTACCGCTCATATCGGAATGTCTCCACGCTGATATCGGCGTGTGTCACCGCCCTATATCGGCCTGTCTCAACGCTTTACGCGGATACAGTTAGGTAGGTATGTCTCACCCCTCTATCGTCATGCATCACCCTTAATGAATACTTTCAGAGGTGCAAGGACGGTTCTATTCACTTTGAGTAGCAGCACTTTTGTTCATAATCCGCATTGATAAGGCGGATTATCTATCTGATCATGAACCCCAAAGCCGCGCGTTTGTATCTCAAATGCTCACACCTTTTATTAGGCACTTGCATAACTACATACTCTGTAGACTGACAAAGTGAACAAATACTTATAGTTATCGTAAAAAGTCTGTTTCCCGTTGAGCTTCATGCAGTGTCTTATAACAATGATTCATTTTCTATAATTGTTGCGACTTGCGTAAATGTAAGAGCTGGTGGTGCATGTAAGTAAAGTATCGTAGTGTAAGTAGGTAAAGTAGTGTTTTTGGAGGACCATTATCGATATCAAAAATAATTATTTGTATATGATCACGACCTTTTTTCCTTCAAAATGTATGTTAAGCTAAAATTATATTTATCTAAGCGTTCTCAAATATATCAGTCAAAAATCCTTATCAGTGAAATATTCAAGAGTAGGTACCTTTTGAAATACCTTACAGATAACAGAAGCACCGAAAGTATCCGAAAGAAGTCTCACCGAAAACCTCGCACACAATTCAGAACCTCTCATACAGAACAGCTTCTACAACTCGTACGTCTTTCCGAAGAGTACGGCACTTTGCACCCCCATTATGTTATGCTTACAAGTAAGTTGCGACTTATTATAGTGTGACTGCAATGCAGAGCAAAAATAGCTACTGTAAGTGTTTTAGCTCGCGCTTGATGCCGTGGAGCTTAGCTTCGAAACCATTTGGGTTCCATTTCCAATGCCACTTTTGCCAGTCAGATCAATTCGCCGATCGCGCGGCTCAGCGCTGAAGATAAAATCGTAAGAGGCTTTCTGGCACCGATTCCACGACGGCCAACTAAGTCAAACGTATGATACATGACTTCGCTTTTAGGCGATAAACAAGTCCGCAAATCAATACACACTTATATCAATGGATGCAATAGAATTTGGGTGAAGACTAGAGACAGAAAACAATGACAAATGCACAAAATCAGACATGAGCTTATGCAAATGTATTTTAGAAAAAAAAAGCGATATCACTAGAGAGCCATTCCCTTCCTATGTAACGTAGGAGTGATTTCTATTCGAACAATCCTGCATGTAAGAATGCTACCCAGAAATGCTCCATAGGTAGTAATAAACTTTTGCTGGATCAGCTTCACCGGTTGTTTTATTTGCAGCTGGCGACCGCCTTCTGGACATACCTTGTAACGTGTGTGGCGACAGAAGCTCCGGAAAACATTACGGCATCTACTCCTGTGATGGTGAGTGGATACCTAGTACGTACCTACCATATGACATATCCTGCCCTAAGGGCCGCGAAGAGTCGGCAAAGGATGTTCATGTCAACTTTGTATGTGTGCTTTATTACATAAGACATGTATGTAGACCTCGTCATGAAGGCATCGTTAGCCGCTATTATGTTACTCGCAGATAATGCATTTTATCAGCCCAATGATACTGAAGCTCTCTAAACAGCACTTCAGTTAGTCATTAATTCGTCCGAAAAATACTGCTCGGAGCAAACGGTCAACGGTGTCTCAAAGTACCGACTTCCTAAAACGCACCTCACATCTTTCGAGAAGCGGAGTTAAATTACAAACTCGGTGTTTTCTTATACCGACAAATTCATTGTTTCAGGATGCTCGGGATTTTTCAAACGAAGCATACATCGGAACCGTGTTTACACGTGCAAGGCACAAGGCGATCAGAAGGGCAGGTGTCCCATCGACAAGACACACCGAAACCAGTGTCGGGCGTGTCGGCTAAAGAAATGCTTCGAGGCATCGATGAACAAAGACGGTATGTACTTACTGCACCTCAAGGTGATTAAAAAAAATGCCTATGCATGTTGCTGCCGACGCCCCGACGGATCCAGGGCACTCGCGACATATATGTCTTTCCTCCCTGCAGAACCGGGGGGCGGGGCAGTGGGGGCAGCTTGCCCCCTTCCCCCAACTCTGGGGCCGTGGGGGCGGTGCCCCCACAACTTTGAGACGGAATACCGCACTTTTTAAGCGAATGTTTTCTTTTAGTTATTGAAAAAGTCAGGGAATGAAAAATAGCTGGCCTAAAACCGGTGAGAAAACTAGATTAAGAAGTACCCCAGGTTGATTTCTATTATTGTGTGCCAGTCGGTATTCCAGTCCGTATAGGCAAGCAAAAGTCAAGATTTTTGGGAATTTCAAGAAATGTTCGAACGTGTGCGCTCCTCTGCAGCGTCTAATGCCTATCTTGTTTGTGGGTCCAATCTAACCAATGCCGTGAAAAGGATTTGGCAGCACTTGCCGGAGTTACCGGCAATATAGGCCTAATATAAAATGTATTCTTTTTATTTTCGTCCGGCTAATCTCGTCAAATGTGCTTAGTGGTGTGAATGAATGAGTGAATGAATGAATGAATGAATGAATGAATGAATGAATTGTGAATAATTATGAATGCTACCAAATGCCGTGAATGCACATTCACGGTATTTGGTATAAAATTGGGCCCAGGGCTCAATCTTACCAAATGCCGTGAATGCGCATTCACGGCATTTGGTAACATTCAGAACTATTCCACATTCACTTATTCATTCGTTCTGGCGACATTCATAATCATCCACGCTATCAAAATCATTGGACAAGATTAGCGGGATGTAAATAGAAAGGATATCATTGATATCAGTGCCGTTGACTCCGCACATTGCCCCAAAAGACGGTAAATAACTTTTGAAAATACCTATCTCCAATTTTAGTGTTTTCTGGACCAAAATTTTGCAAGGAATCCGATGGTGTGGTCCCCGATGTCCGAAAAATTGCCATTTTGGAGATAGCACCTATTTTTTGAAAAATAAATATTCGTCACGCATAATAGTCAAATAAACTGAAAATATAATGAGTTCATTTTTGTAACAACACTAGAATGTGTCGAACATGAATTAGAGATATATTTTAGCTGAGATGATACTATATCTGTGCATACATGTAGGGTAGCCTGGGGCAAGACGCCCCAGATAATTTATTTTGCTACATAACTTTTGTCCCAGATGACCTGGAAGGCTAAATTTGTGCTCAATGCGTTCTTTGGACATTTGACTTTAAATTCCACCCCTCAAATTATTTCACCTATGATCGGACTCCCAGCTAGGAAGCGATTTGTGAAGCAACTGCAAATGGGGCATTTTGCCCCAGCGCCAGGGCAAAACGCCCCACGGCCTGGGGCAAGAAGCCCCATACTCTAGATTAAAGATTAAACATGGTAGCTGGCTAAATCTTATATGAGAGGTCCGTTAGACCTCTGGAGGCACGGCACTGAAGTTAGCACATTCCATCCTGTCAGGTGTTCAGCTATGACACTATTGTATGAGCAGGTTTTTCACCTGCCTCAAAGGACCAAATAATAAATTATTGCAATTCAAATGTTTACATAATACTTCCTTTGCCATCCAGTTGCTGAGAAAATACACATAAAGGCATAGAAACTTACTGTTCGCCAGCTACCGAACATTAGAAAGTGGGTAGCCCGAACAACACATGGGGTAAAACGCCCCATGGGGCTTTTTGCCCCTCGACCTGCTGGGGCGTTTTACCCCATCACGTAGTTCGGTCAGAGAACAACGTTTTGCACTCCAGCAAGACATAATTCAACACGAACCAACCCGGCATGATAAGCGTTAGACAATAGTTGTTCAAAATACATAAAAGTCGTTAACCTGATGTGGACCATAAAAGAACGCCATGATGCATAATCTGACATCAAAACATAAAAATCACTCAAAAAACACATTTTTGGCTATATCTCCCGAAAGAGTCAACACAATTTCTTTCCAGTCTGCTCATATAATGATCATATAGTGCACGTTTTATAGAAGAGAGGATGTTTCCCCAGAACTCTGCCAGTTCCGAGAAACATCGGTGAGGCGTTTTACCTCGGCGGGGCGACTTGCCCCGGTCTACCCTACATGAACTAGTACATTAACCCTCGTCGGCCGAGAAGGGGTGGGGCGGGTGCCGCCTCATAGGGCTTTTCGCGATAGCTTAAAACTCGCTTAGGGTAGACAGCTGAAACTTGGTATACCTAATCTTTTATTCAAACTGGATCTTTTGACCTCAACTGCGTTTTCAGGTCAGGACAGGTCACTGACCTATGACGTCATAAATAAACCTCTGCGAATTCCTCAGATGTTGCAACTTTGCAACGCCCTCAGCATGGGCGTCGCCACCACTACGGACACTACGGACAGTGTCCGTACAAGTTTTGGAAGGCCCGGAAACTTGTACGGAATGTCCGTACAAGTTTGGTCGACCGCAAATGCAGTCTTCGCACATGTTTGAAGCAGCTTTAAGCTTATCAGACCCCTATTTGTGGTTCAAGTTACGATCCAAGGCCGCCACAAAGTCAATGTCACGCAGGAGTAGGTATATAGGGTGTAACGAAATTATTCGGACATCTATTTTTATTATTATTAGAACTCAGCCCGGCCGCGACCGCTAAAGCCGCGCTTTGCCAAGTGGTTAGGAGAGTTGTCAAGATAGCGACAAGCCGACAAGGGAACGACGACAATCAATCTGCAGATTGACTTGTATTCTTGGCAAGGCAGATAATAAGAAGGCCCACATCATGAGTGACCCACCACTATCCACCCCTTCACTTGGTTCTTCTGCTCATCAAACTGAAAAAGACAACGCAATGGACGGGAAAATAGCTAGTGCACCACCTTTGGCCTCACGCCAAGACACATCCACTGCACTGGTCGAAGGAAGACATGAGCGTTTGGTGGAGTGGGCGGCTATTCGCGCTGTATTGTCCTTTGAACCGCCAAAGCGGTCTTGTGTTGGCTACCAGTAACACAAACGTGCCGGCCGTCACCGGCGTCAAACATCCGGCCAAGATCCAGATCTGAAACATGTTCAGCTTATGTACGATATTCCAGCTGTGCATTGTGTCACAGAAGACCACCTTCAGTGACGAATATTACCGAAGTAGCATCCTGGCAAACAAATAATTGGAGCCGCTCAACCGGACGGCACGGGAGGGCTCGACTTCTAAAAGCGCACTGAATACTGATGTTTGATTCAAGCCACGCTGCCTTCGTGCAGGCTGGAGCGCTACATTTAAGTCCGTAGGAGAATGAGAAGTGAGGCCGAGAGAAGCTCTTATCCTTCTGGACTAACGGGCTACGACTTGGAAATAGTGGTCATCCTGATTTCATAGAGATCTTAAGGATTTTTGTCCAGCGGGAGGTGAATAAGGGGACACCCGGCACCAGGACCGCCCAACTGTACGTGAGCACATGCTAATACGGCGTCTGTCCACATCAAACCCACTGCTTGAAAACCCAGTAGCTGGAATGTTCCAGGCACTTCTAAATATGATCTTATGAATGGTGGCGATATCTTCATCAAAAGGAAAACCTCAGGCTGTCTTGTTTCTTAATTACAGCGGGAAGAAAGGTGACCGGATCAGGATAATCTCGTTACACCCTGTATCCTTCTATAGGCTATTTTACTGATGCGTCAGTCATATTACATTTAATTATGTTACTTTTGTCATCCTGAGGCTCTAAATGAATGCTTAGATCAAAAGGAATGACAAAATCGTGGCCAGTGTCTTCAAATGCAGCAAATGAGACTGATCATGTGTGAACGTCAACCAAAGGCCATTCGAGGTCACATGAGATCAACATAAAACTTGACCTTTTCAAACAACCTATATGTCATTCGACGCGTCTTGACATGACCAACGCGTTTGTACCACTGCTTTAGGTCTATGAACTTTTTTGGTGAAGAAATCTGCAAAAAAGCCGCAGCTCGGGGTCGCTAACCTAACCTTTGACCTAATGTCGCTAACCCTTTGACCTAATGTAGGTTGGTATAAAAATGTGTTTGCATTTTTTCCCGAAACCACTAGGCATGCGGGGGCTATCGCAACTATTCGTCCGAGGTGTGTGTGTGGGGGGGGGGGGGGGGGAGGGGAGGACGAACAACATCCTCCCTGGGTCCGCGTGGTTAATGCATCTGACGAGTATTACGGCTGACATAAATGTGTCCGTACAAGTTGGGGACCCGTGGCGACGCCCCTGGCCCTCAGTGCCAGAGGAGCTTTCACAGGAAGATGAAAGTTACAGGACGTAGTATCCTTCTGAGGTCTCACAACTTGTTTATCTCGGATTTAACCTAAATGTCACATGAGGTCAGGTCGGTCACGTGACCTCACCATTATAAGTCAATGGGGGAAATATTGAAACTGTTATTTTGGCGCCGGAAATGATCTAAAACTGTCCCAAGCACATGAAATCGTGGTTTCATGATCGGACCGTACAAAGAGTGCATGAAACCACGATTTCATGTGCTTGGGACAGTTTTTAGACAATTTCCGGCGTCAAAATAACAGTTTTCATATTTCCCTCCATTGACTTATTATGGTGAGGTCACGTGACCGAACTGACCTCATGTGACATTTGGGAAAAATCTGAGATATGCAATTTGTGAGACCTCTAAAGGATACTACGTCCTGTAAGTTTCATCTTCCTGTGAAAGTTGCTCTGGCACTGAGGGCGTTGCAAGGTTGCAACTTCTGAGGACCGTGCAGAGGTTCATTTATGACGTCATAGGTCAGTGACCTGACCTGACCTGAAAACGCAGTTGGTGTCAAAAGATCCAGCTTGAATAGAATATTAGGTAGGGTAAGGTGCCTAATTAGCGACCCTTTCCGATTTGCGACCTACCTCCCTACAGGAAAACTGGCATGAGAAAACGGGGTAAAAACATCGTCAAAAGGTCAGCCATACTTTGGTTATCAAATTTAATTATTTTCCGGTC